TGGATGTGCACCGTGCGGTTACCGTGCGCAACAAGTCGCTGGAGAACGCAGCTGCCTCCACATCCAAAATGTTTGCGGCCATAGCGACCAATCATCTAAAGGCGCTCGGCGCTCTACAGGACTTGCCCACATCCAGTGGCAGTAAGCCCAGCTCCAGCAATGGCAACGGCAGTCGCTCCACCAATGGCAGCAGTGCCGCTCCAGCGGTCGTTGCCAAGCCCATTGGACGCCATAAAACCATTGTGGAGTGCAGCGCCGGCACGTCTAGTTCCTCTGCGGAGGAGTCGCGTCACAAGAAGTCGCAGACAAAGTCGCTGAGGCACAGCGACAAGGCGTATGGCTCGCCGGATTCGCCGCTATCCAAGATGAACGTGATGCCGAATCCCCGCGATGAGTTGGACGCGGGACTATTGCCTCCATCCAAGAACATTGCCGCTCTCGAGATACCAACACCTGAGCGGCTACTCCCTATTGGCACACAGGACACGGTTGCCACTTTGGTGGAGCGCATGCGGGACGGTCTTAATCTGCCGGACATCAGTCATCTCAAGCAGGACAGCTTGGATGTGTCGGAGAGCACCAAGGACGATGTCACGCCCAGCAGTCGCAACAACTCGCCGCGTCGCCTCATCAAGCAGGTGGCGCTCGAGTCACCGCCCAACCCGAATGCACCGATTGCTACTCCTGTTCCTACACAGTCTCAACCACAGCCGCCATTGCAGTCGCATCCTCAGCAGGACCTGCACACATCCATTCTAAAGAATGTCACACAGGATCTGAAGCAACAGCCCATTGAGCGTCAGCCGAACCTGCCTGGCACGTCGGCCACTTCCAATAGCATCAAGCGTCCCAGGCAGAAGCTGGCGCCTTTCAACGTGGACACCAATGCAATACCAGATATACGCTCGCGCTTTGCCGGCTCCTGGCCGCCTCCGCCATTCCAGCCAGCCGAGGAACCCGCCGAAGATGGCGAACATACACCCGAAATCGCAAATGGACACTCGACCCACACCTCAGCTCATGCGGAGCGTGGGGTAAGTAAATTGGCAGAATTATCTGAAGAAGAAGAATTATCTAAGAATGCAAAATGGCATTGAGAAATTTATTTTTAAAATATCACCTGCATTAGTGGAAAATGGATGAAAAACTATTATGCGAAGTACATTTTTTTAGTAAATTCGTAAGATGGTACAATGTTTTTGTGCAAATGTATTTCACTGACAGAAAAAAGCATTTCCGAACCTATTAAATATATGTGTGTATGTATATTCTTGATCCGTCCGTTCGTCGTTATGGACGCGTTGTTCTCGAAAACTTCAATTGCTAGACTTTTAATTTGAAAGATATATATTTACGCAGATAGAGATTATTAATTTTTAAAACTATCTCCACCATTTCCCCAATTTCGATTAATATCGATTTTTAAACATGGTTTCTAAGTTTAGCCCGAAGCTTATAGGAACTCGAGATACAACATCCAATATGTAAAACCTCATATATGTAGTACTCACATATCTAGAATTTTTGACTTTTCCTCCACTAGTTTTCTTTCAAATTACATTAAAAAAGCAATAACGTACAGGTTACAGGGTATCTTCTAGCTGGGTATTTTCGACTAATTCGGATATGTGATAAAATTCTTCTCAACAGAGCTCCCGACGCGTCGGCAACTATACGATTGTGGAACGCTGCTCTGATTGCGGCGCTGTTATCGAGGAGTACACGGATGAGGAGATTGGCATATTCATTGTAATCCTGGGCACCTTTATTCACCGCGAGCCGGCAATGGCAGCGCCATTTCTGCCTGAGGTGCTGACCATGACATCGCGGTGAGTGGCATGGGGAAAAATAAACTAACTCTATTGCTGATGACACTCAACTCTTTCAGGATTTGTCTGAGTGGCACGCATGCCTGGCAGGGCGAGAACGGGCTGCCCTTGGCGAGCAGTGCCCAGGCCGTGGCTCTGCAGTTCATACGCTGCGTTCTGCATCAACTGGCCCCCAATGGAATCTTTCTGCAGGTGTTCCAAACCCAAATGAAAAGTGAGTTGGCAAGCCAATTTGTATTAAGAAGAATAATTAAGTACTATTTCTCTGGCTTGCAGTTAAAATAAGGCACAACCATTTCCGAAGTATTGCCAAGGCGCTGCAAGACTTCCAGGATTTGAATGCAACCAGTCCCATCTATATGGTCTGCGAGTCTCTGACCTCCAAGAAGGCGCTGCCCATCGATCAGCTGCCCATCATCTTCCGTAACATGGCCGAGTATCTGCAGTGTGTTCCCGCCGAGGCGGGTGTCGGCCTGGCCGTCTGGTCACAGGCCATGCAGGCCATGGAATCATTGCTGCGCCAGGTCATCGTCATCATGCCCAGCCTGATCCATTGCGAGTATATGCTGGACCTCATTGTGGCCACTTTGCGCTTGAATTGCGTGCCCAAGACGCTTTTGGATCCGTACTCCAAGATTATGGCCCACTGTGTGCAGTACACGAATTTGGAATACCAGACGCTCTACGATCTGTGCACGCTCAACACACGCTCCTTCAACAAGGACCGCGACAAGAACTTACTTTGCCGCCAAATGATCTTTGAGTTTGTCCAGGCGCTCAAGTTCAAGTCGAACATACCCGATCACAATCTGCTTATGATCATTGGATTTGTGCTGCTGGATGCGGGCGGCACTTTACCACCAGGTGCATTGCCCGGATTGCCGGATGCAGCTCCCGTGATGACCACAAATGCTGCGGACTGTTTTAGGCAGTACATTAACGACGTCATTGACTTTCTGGCCGATTTCCACACGCTCAGCAAGATCAAGGTAAGTCTTTGGGTGCATTCGGGCTCTACTCTATAACTTAAAACATATTTACTTCTGCAGAACTCCAAGAACGGCCAGACAAGCAGTGGCCTCGGCGAGGACACCTTAGGCGGCGTCCTAAAGGGCGCTGTGGCCCAATATCTGGCACTCGAGATGTCCCGTGGCAGCTCCCGCGATCACAAGGCAGTCTCGCGCTATCTACCCTGGCTAAACAATGCTCCCTCGTCGTTGCAGCAGGGGTAAATTATATTATTATTATCATTATTATTATTATAATTATCATTATTATTATCATTATTATTATAATAATAATAATAATTATTACAATTAGTATTATTATTATTATTAGTATTATTATTATTATTATTATTATTATTATTATTATTATTTATATTATTATTATTATTATTATTATTATTATTATTATTATTATTATTATTATTATTATTATTATTATTATTATTATTATTATTATTATTATTATTATTATTATTATTATTATTATTATTATTATTATTATTATTATTATTATTATTATTATTATTATTATTATTTATTATTATTATTATTATTATTATTATTATTATTATTATTATTATTATTATTATTATTATTATTATTATTATTATTATTATTATTATTATTATTATTATTATTATTATTGTTATTATTATTACTATTATTATCGCTATTATCATTATTATCATTATTATTATTATTATTATTATTATTATTATTATTATTATTATTATTAGTAGTATTATTATTATTATTATTATTATTATTATTATTACTATTATTATTATTATTATTGTTATTATTATTACTATTATTATCGCTATTATCATTATTATCATTATTATCATCATTATTATTATTATTATTATTATTATTATTACTATTATTATCGCTATTATCATTATTATCATTATTATTATTATTATTATTATTATCTGATCCTTATTATTATTTATTATTATTATCATTGTTATTAATTATTATTATTATTGTTATTATTATTATTATTATTATTATTATTATTATTATTATTATTATTATTATTATTATTATTTTTATTATTATTATTATTATTATTATAATTATTATTCTTGGTCCTTTTGAATCTAAAGATATAGCTTATTTGATTTGGTCTGGGTCAACCCGGTCAGATTTAATCATTACTATGTCACGATATGGCCAGAATAACCGATTGCCTCTCTTTCAGTCCCAAAGAATTCACGGAATGTGTGGGTCATATGCGTCTACTCTCGTGGCTGCTGCTGGGCTCACTTACCCATATGGCGTTGGTGCAGCGACGCCAAGAGACGCATACGCTGCCACCAGTGCTGCCGCCAAATATAGCGGCTGGGCAGGGTCTACCTCCGATGGCTAGTGTGCATTACCAGCATCAAGGAGTCACGTACTCACAGCCTGTGCCGCAGGAGGCATCCTGTCACATAGCTGATCACATCCAGGTGATATTTGCGGGCTTTGCAGAGCAGTCAAAGACTTCGGTGTTGCACATGTCGTCGCTTTTCCATGCGTTCACGCTTTGCCAACTGTGGACCGTCTACTTGGAGCAGATGGCGCATAACACCAACAGCAATGCAGAAGGCAGCACATTGGGAGTACTATTTGAATTTTGGACCAAGGTAACACCAAGCATACTGCAGTTGGTTTCGCATGCCAAACCTGCTAACAAGGAGCCGCATGCACAGGCTGGCACCGACTTTCAAGCTCAGAATGCTAATTCAAAGCTATCAGAAATGGTCAACTTGCACTTCCTTAGCCTACTGGAAGCACTGAAGGAGACAAACTCCACGGTGCTGGGCAAATTACTGCCTATGTGGAGCACTGTGCTCTCTTCGCAGACACAGCTCTCGGACACGCTTCATGTGCGACTGCAAAATGTTCGCGACTATGCGCCAAACTTTGAAGAACAGCAGACGCATAAATCGGAATCACTGCTCAAGTGGTTACAGCGTCTGCAATTTAAAATGGGCCAAATAGAGCTACAAGCCTCAACGGCTACACAGTTTTACTCGATTTGAATTTTAAGCTTATCTAAAAGGCTTGTTTAGCCAACATTTATGTGTAGCCCGTCATAGCGTGTAGCTTAAGTACATGGATACTGGACCCTATATATTGCTAGCCCTTATGTTTTAGAGAGCATTGATTAATGTTTGGTAGCTGTTTAAAAAAGATATATTAAATACATTATACGCAGAATAAAATATTATAACTGTTTAGATCACACACTTGTTTCAATTTGAAAAATTCTGAACCATCATAAGATTAATTGGCCACTATATAATAAAGGAGCGCAGTTAGCCGCTACTGTTTGACCTTAACAAGCTTGAATGTTCACTTATAAACTGCGTAACTAACGCCACCTGAGGCTTTCTCTAATATCGTTGGATCAAGCACTTCATTTTGTTCGCCAGTACGTTGCCGGCCTTCAATAAGATAATCCACCTGCGGATCGCGGTATATGTTAAATGACGATTTGGACTTCAGTACGGATTCCTCGGGTAAACGGATGCTAGTTACTGTTCCAGTTTGCTTGGCCAGACGCTCTTCAGCCTGCTGTATGCGTAACTCCTTTAAGCAATGAATACGGTTAGACATAACGAATTGTATTAACATATTCCAGCATTTACCTTGACTTTCTGCATATAATCGATCTGAAGGCTGGCAGATTCAGCCAGCGGCACTAGCTGGGTCTCCTTGTGTTGTATGAGTGGCGGCGTTGCGGCGGTGATCTCCCAATGTTTGCCTTTTTTACGTATGCGCTCCTTCGCAGGATCGTGCACATTTGATACCGTAGTCCGAAAAGGTCTGAACTTTTCACGAGCCGTTGCCAAAACTGGCAATTCGGTTTTTTCTATGAGATACAGTGCATGTTGTTCAAACATAGTTCCAGGAGGATGTTTATCAACCAATGTGGCTACATCAACTTCTATTAATTCAGCTGGGATCGTTTTGCTGCCGTCTATCCCGTTTAAGCTGCTTGATGCGCTTTGATCGGTCAGCGTTGAATCTAACGAATTGGGCGTTTGTCTAAACGATGCTATGTCAGCCACATCTTCAGGAGTAATAAGTGTGGCGGGCGGCGGCAGCACTTTTACCTGGCGCTGGTGCATTGTGCCTTGTGCGATAACACGCAACGGATCCATATCTTGCTCATCGTCACTGTCGAGTAGATCCGACACGTTTGAGCTGTCAACAGCGGCTCGACCATGCCATTCCAGGTTGTTGAGCGTTCTTTTACCTTTCGATGCAATATTCAGCTCGCCGAAAAGGTTAGCAGTTGCCTCCACATCGTCTCGACGTTGAATCTCAGCAAGCAACTTCTCATATGCCTCCTGTATACGTTTTCCTTTATCTGGCAAACTCTGCAATCGCTTTCTAAGGGTCGCGTTAACAAATTCAAATAAACATTTAACTCCCAAATGAAACCACTTTAGTGACTTACTTGGATGCCAAAAGATTGCTTTGCCTATCTTTAATTTCTATCAGTTCATGGTATCTAAGCGTTTTGAGGTCTTTGATATATAGTTCCTTAGTTTGAGCCTTACCAGGAATTCGATTCATCGGTGGCGCATTCATTTTCTTAGTTTTATAATTAAAACTTTACATTAATGTTCCCCGCTTAATAACAACCACACATGCAAAAGTGTTGCTCGATAGACATCGACTTATCGATAAAACCAATGACGGCCGTGAACATATCGAATAGTGCAATATCGATACATCGAAAACAAAAGTCAAATATTTTATTTTTGAGTTGTAATAAAAATGCTACTGACACAATAAATTTTTAAAATGAATATTAAATAGAAAATTAAACAAAATAAATATAAAATAAAAATCAATTAACTGTACTGATTGTTCATTGAAATTCGAATAGAAAATAAACTGGTAAAAATCTTTCAAATTTAAAAATTCCAAGCGGTGGTTACAAAAAATATTTAATAACCGACACAATCTCAGTGCTATCTGAACGCATATTAGGTTTTTGAAACATTTAAAAATCAATGTACTTAAGATGTGCAATGAATCCGTAGAGATCTTCCTAAATTTCATTTTTCAATACCGAATTACAAAAAGAAATAACATTTTAAAATTTTATTTTAAAAAAAAAGTGAAATTAATCGGTAACGATATAAATTGTATTGCACCGTTAAGTTTCAAATCAAAGTACACTGTGCATAAGCATTTAAATAATACAAATAAAAAAAAACTTAAGAAAAACTAACTTAACAGAAACATGCCGAATGAATTGATAAGGCCCACGGGCTCCTACAAAGTAAGTAAGCGATACCGACGTGTAGAGAAACGTCGAGGAGATTCGCTTCACGATACAAATGTACGAATTCATGGCCCTCCAAAAAAGAAAACGCTAGCTCGGTATATTAAAATAATCGGATTATATTTAACACTATATGTGTGTATTGCAATTCTATTAGCATGTAATATACTCATTTTGTACAATTTGCGAGTGCCCAATAACGAACCCCTTGAGCGTAAGTGCACGAGTATGTCATCCGTGCCGGGTAATTTTGTGGGGGACAGAAAAATAATTCGATTCCAGGCAGATCAACGGAATCAAATAACGCCCTATATTCGTCACATGTATGCCTATGTAAAAAAATATGGCAATGAAGGAAAGCGTCGCCTGAGGGGATGTAATTTAGATAATAACTGGGGATACAATAGCGGCCTGCCTTGCATACTGTTGAAGCTCAATAATGCAATAGGTTTTAAAGCTGAGACATACACCAGTTCCCTAACACTCCCGAAAGAGGTGCCCAATGAATTGCACGATTATATATTGCAGTTGCCGTTGGATGAGCGTATAGATCGCATATGGGTTAGCTGTTCATTCTTAGATAATGCGACTGATGCGAAAGTGGATTATATACCACACCGGTATTATGATGCCGATGGCTTGTTTGAAAAAGAGAATTTCTATTTGCGTACTATCTCTGAGAACTTAACGGCTGAAAATATCCGTGAGAATCCAGCGTTTCGTCGCGTTATTGGTGTACAATTTCAATATCTTCCAATGAATCGCGATGTTACGATAAAATGCACAGCATGGGCAGAAAATATTCCTGTAGACGTCGGATCGATAATTATTATATTTCGCATTGAAGGGCATGAAGTTTTTCCAAATCCCGATCCAGACTTTGAAGAAGCTTTGGATTTGAACTTTAACTGAATAATCAAAGGCAACATGTTAAATTTTATCGTTAAATTTAACTGTTAATTTGACAGCTTGGCCTAAGAAAACACACACAAAAACAAAACACAAGCACATTTTACGTAGTTCTTATTAACACAAAAGTTTCTATATATCTTTTTAAAATTCATTATGCCTGAAGACTTTGTAGTTCCCGCTGGCCGTTACACTGTTAAGAAACGATTTCGACACCAGGAACACAAGCGAAAAAACAAAGACTTGCCATGGTCTAAGAAAATATTGGATTTGGATCACCATAAACTGTTTGGACGTACCGCTTGGGGCTGGACAAGAATTGTTTCATTCTATCTGTTGCTATATTTTCTAATCTTATTGATCTTGGGTCTTTTGATGCTACTGTTCAAGCTAGTAATTTTGAAAGATGATGCACCACGATGGCTTAAGGAGGCACCCGGCATTTCGACAGTGCCCAATTCCAGCTATATAAAGATACATTCAAGCATGCCAAAGGAAATATATAAAATTACTGACCGAATAGATAAATTTATAGAGAAATTGGATGGATCTGCTGAGAAGAAATTCGCCGATTACAACAAAGACCAAGTTTGGGGATATTCTACCAAAACGCCATGCGTTTTTATAAAGATTAATAAAATAATTGGATATACGCCGGTTACCTATGATTCGGTCAGTGATCTACCGGACAATAATCAGCTGAAAAATACAGTGCTCAATTTTCCTGGCGCCAAGAGAATCTGGTTGACATGCGACGCTTCACAAACGAATGTCCAATTTAATTATATACCTGGTCCGTATTTTGACACATCAACCAGTTTGATGGGGATCAAACGTGTTGTCGCAATGCAGATGACCCGTGTACCGCTTAATAAAGAGATATATATTAAATGCAAAATTTGGGCGAAAAACATTGAAATTGACATGAAATACAATGGCTGGGGTAATGTACAATTTTCCTTGATCGTGTACGCGTCATAGGGAGCGAAACTCTTCAGGATTTCGCGACCATCTGAATGTATTTACATATATGCAGCAAAAGACATTTGGCCGTTCCACTCAAATTTGAATTTCAAATGTATATCAAATTGTATATAAATAATATATTAAATAATCTCATGCCGAGAATGTATATTTGTTTTGAAATTCTTTTCGCTTTTATCCCCACTTCCGCCTGAAATCAAACAGCAGGTTCAAACTTACATTTACTCACATTCAACAGTAATTTCCCATTTTTATATATATGTTTATATAATATATTTTTAATCAGAAACAAACAGTTGACGGCTTTGTCTCTGCCTAGTTGGCGTGAATTTCACAAGCAAGTAGGCTTTCACTTACATTTTGCATATTTTTTATTGCTTCTTTTTTTTTAGCAATGTTGCCAGCTAAAGAAAAGTAAACGATCTCCTAAATTTTACTTATTTTCTTATTTTGTTGTCAAGTGCTAAGAAAGATTTTTACTGCAACTGTCATAAGCAGTCGTGTCACGAATACTCAAAATACTACCGATAACTTGTTAGGTACTGGCGAATACTTTGCGTCTTTTTCCTAATTGCTCCTCTCTAATTGGTTTGAATTTGTCATCACTATTTGTCTCATTTCATTATATGCATCTGGTCTTTACGAGGATATGGCAGGAGAGGATTTGATAATCAAGTTTCAGGAGCTTGGCATGAGCGAGCAGAAGGCCAAGGAGACGCTTAAGAACGCCAATTTGACACGAAACCTACAGCTAGCTCTGGCCGAGACAACCCAGCCGCTAAGCGATGGTGTTGGCATGCTGCTATACCACATGGCCACAAAACTGAAGCCACAAATATCGGGGCAGCTGCCACTTTTAGTGCGCTACATTGCGGAGCGCAAGCTAGACAACACGCAACGTGTGGACGCAGCCCTAGAATATGTGCTCAAGAGCGGACAGAAGAAAAACGTTAATGTCGACCTGGCCGAGTTAGAGCGCGAGTGCGGTGTTGGCGTTGTGGTCACGCCGGAAGAGATTGAACGTGTCGTACAGCAAAAGGTTAAGGGCACCTACAAGCAGACATTGCTGGAGCAGCGCTACCACTTCAACGCATTTAAGATCATGCAGGAAGTCCGCAATGAATTGAAGTGGGCAGACGCCAAATCCTTGAAAGCAGCTATCGATGTTGAGATATTTGATTTGCTTGGCCCTAAAACCGAGGCCGATCTTATCCCACTACCCAAGCAAAGCGAAAAGCAGCCCAAAGCTAAAGTTAGCAGTAACTCGAAGCCCGAGGTCAAGGTTTCTACCACTTCCACATCTGCACCAGATGACGACGGTGCCAATACAATTGCAGAGCTGATGAAGACAAAGGTGCACTTCCATGCGCCGGGGGAGAACTTTAAAACCGATGGATATGTGGTCACCGAGCACACGGAGCGGCTACTGCGCGAACATCTGCAGCTCACTGGTGGGCTTGTACAAACGCGTTTCCCTCCCGAACCAAATGGCATCCTGCACATCGGGCATGCCAAGGCCATCAACATCAACTTTGGCTATGCTGCAGCCCACAAGGGCGTCTGCTATCTACGCTATGACGATACCAATCCAGAGAAGGAAGAGGAGAAGTTTTTCGTCGGCATCCGCGACATGGTCGAATGGCTTGGCTATACGCCGTACAAGGTGACCTACTCCTCGGATAATTTTCAGCAGTTATATGATTGGGCAGTGCTGCTGATACGCAAGGGCTTGGCCTATGTGTGTCACCAGAAGGCGGAAGAGATTAAGGGTTTCAATCCACCTCCGAGTCCCTGGCGCGAGAGACCTATTGAGGAATCACTGCAGCTCTTCGAGGACATGAAACATGGCAAGATCGATGAGGGTGCTGCCACTCTGCGCCTTAAACTAACGCTCGAGGAGGGTAAACAGGATCCCGTTGCGTATCGGATCAAGTTTATTCCCCATCATCGCACTGGTTCCGAGTGGTGCATTTATCCCACCTACGACTACACGCACTGTCTGTGCGACTCCATTGAGCAGATTACCCATTCGCTCTGCACCAAGGAGTTTCAATCGCGTCGCTCCTCCTACTACTGGCTCTGCAATGCCCTTAACATCTACTGCCCGGTTCAGTGGGAATACGGTCGATTGAACATGAACTATGCCCTGGTATCCAAGCGAAAGATTGCCAAGCTGATTAGCGAGCGCATTGTCCATAACTGGGATGATCCACGCCTATTTACGCTAACGGCTCTGCGTCGACGCGGCTTTCCCGCTGAAGCTATCAACAATTTTTGCGCCCAGATGGGCGTAACGGGCGCACAGATATCCGTGGATCCCGCCATGCTTGAAGCGGCCGTCCGCGATGTTCTTAACGTGACTGCCCCGCGTCGACTGGTTGTGCTGGAGCCGCTCAAGGTGACCATCACCAACTATCCCCATCCGGGTCCAGTGGAATTGCAAGTGCCGAATTTCCCACAGAACCCAGCACTGGGTTATCATAAGATTACCCTAGATCGTGTCATATACATTGAGCGCAGCGATTTTAAACTGGAACCGGAGAAGGGATATCGACGCCTGTCCACCCAGCAAGTCGTCGGCTTGCGTCATGCTGGTTTGGTTATTAGCGTACAGCAAGTTGTACGTGATCCGGCCACAGGTGAAGTGTTGGAGCTCGTTTGCAGCAGCGAGTCAGCGGAGCAGGCCGAGAAGCCAAAGGCATTTGTGCAGTGGGTTTCACAGCCCATTGAACTTGAGGTACGTCTCTATGAGCAGCTGTTCAAGCACAAGAATCCAGAGGATCCAAACGAAGTGCCTGGCGGATTTCTTAGCGACATTAGCGATAACTCTATGTCTGTTCTTCGTGCGTACTCCGATCAGTCACTGAGCGGTGTCAAGGTGTACGATAAGTTCCAATTTGAGCGCATCGGTTTCTTCTCTGTGGATCCTGACACATCTGGCACACGGATTGTGTTCAATCGCACCGTAGGACTCAAAGAGGACTCGGGAAAGAAGTAAAACTCACTAGAACTTTTTTTACAAAACAGAAATATGCTCACAATAAATAGGATTTATAAAATCAATCATTTCTTTCCCTCGACCATAATTATGTGGTAGCCAAATTTCGTCTTTATCGGTGGATCTGTGTAAACGGGGCTGTTGACTGTGGATATGGGCAGGGCAAAGGCGGCGTCCTGGAATGGTCCGACCATCGCACCGCGTATTTGCCAGCCTAAATCACCACCTTGACGTGCTTTGTCTTCACTGTAAGCAGCTGCCACCTCAGGAAATTTCTGACCAGCTTTTAACTTCTCCAAAGCTTCCATAATCTTGCCCTGCTTCTCACAGAGAATATGTCGCACCTTCACAGCATTGCCACCTTTCTTCTCTTTGCCGGCACCTGCGTATGATTTAAGCGATATATATAGTTTTCTGTAATCGCAAGCAAAATCGTACCTTTATCCTCTGTAGCTGGTTTTTTGCCACCTTTGGCGCCATCCTTTCCGCCCTTCGTATCCTTTTTAGGGGGCATCTTAAATTGTCAGCAACAACGACTATAGATTTAGGGCTTGCCACTGTGTTGACTAGCACATGTGCTGCCACTAGGCAAAAGCTGGCAGAGTATATTTTCAATGATAGGTTTACACTGTTTTCAAATATATCGCCAAAACTATCGATATATCGATATAATATAAACATCTCTAACTCGTCTCTCACTCCTTTTCACTTTAGCGAGGCAAAATTTGTCACATTTCTTTGGCAAAATTGTAAGTTTTGTCATTTAACTTGAAATGGAAATAAAATATAATATGCTAACAACTTTTAATTTGCAGTGCAGTTTGTGATTAATCATTTAAATATCGTGAAGAGCGTAACGCAACACACTAGACAAGCGCTAGCTAAACCAGCAACGAAGCAAAATGCCTAAGAATAAAGGAAAAGGTGGCAAAAATCGTCGTCGTGGAAAGAATGAAAACGAATTCGAAAAGCGTGAGCTGATCTTCAAAGAGGATCAACAGGAGTACGCACAGGTGACCAAAATGCTGGGCAATGGTCGCTTGGAGGCAATGTGCTTTGATGGCGTCAAACGTCTGTGTCACATTCGGGGGAAACTTCGCAAGAAGGTGAGTGTGTGCGTGTTTGTGGGCGTTTCAATGTGTGCGTGAAAAAGTGCTGCTCTTTTCTGTAGGTGTGTTGCGTGCACTGTTTGCTAATGTATGTATATGTGTTGCATATATATACGAATATATAGGTGTGTGATGCGTGCACATCGAATTGCAATACGATTTCAAAGATTGTTGCCCTTGCAAACAATTTGTCTATAAACAGGCATTGTGTACATATTAGTTTATTTCGCTAGCCAGTCACATTATGCTGAGCCTCGTCCGTTTGGCAACGGCCTTCAAAAATTGCCAACAAAGGCAAATTGCGTTGAACTTATGTCTACATACATATATGTGTGTTTTTACATTTTTGTGCATGTGTAAGTTGTATGTCGTAATTTTAAAAAGCATCCATGTGCTTGATTTCTTTTAATCCTGATCTTGGACCTGGTACTTTATCAATCACTTAAGTACAGGGAACTGTCTCTTGAGCGACAATTAATGTTTCCCATTTTTCCTCGCCTAAAGGATATTAAGAAGAAGTAGCAAAGAACAAAACAATATTTCATTTATATTTTTCGATATTACGAGATAGATATTTGATACTCATAATAAGATCAACATGACAGATTAGCACCTGATTCAAAGACACATTAAAAAATATTAAAAAAATTCATTTTTCTATTGCTTGTCCCAAATCTAAAAGTTGGTTTAATCAATTAGCAGTACCAAAAACTTGTATTCTGTTGCATAGTGCAACGCATAGTGGACGCAATTTGGGGATCGCTAAAAGTTACAATAGATCTTATACAGTTTCGTTTCTTATCCTTATAAAAGCACTATCGGGTATAACCCGGCCTTGCCCGTGATACTTATAAAATAAATGTTCTCAAAAAGGTTTGAAAATGAGTTTGAAACCGATCGGACGGTAAACAAACAACTTTCATACAAACGTTTTTCACCAATTTACCAGGTATTCATTAAGTTCTTATGTAGGGCTTTGCAAATAAGTTCGAAGCACAACTTATAACTTCCCCCAAAACATCTTTGAATCGGATTTCTACC